GTGGCTGATGGATAGACTTAAGGAAAGGGAGAGAGAGGCTGTGCAGGAAGCGCCAATGAACAAGAGAATGAGGCTGGATTAGCCTCTTGTCTAGCTAGGACTATCATACTACTCATGACATACGTAAGCTTAACACAGTTTCATCGGTTTCTTAGGAGGGTGAGCCAATGACTTCTTCGCACAATTCATAATTTTTCTTAAGCGACAATCCTCCTTCGGTTTCCGGTGAGACCACAACACGAACTCCTCGCAACCAACTTTTCCTTCGAAATTGAGAATCATGCCACAATATTTAATCGAATAATTATTCAAAACCTAGTATTTCTTCATATAATTACTTTAGCCGAAGACTTCGGACAATGTACGTCCTACCAGGTCTTCCTGCCAACATTAACAATTTGCCAACCCGAGGTCAGATGGCTTCTACAAATCTAAAAGAGACTGCAACCCAAACAGAGGCCATAACACTTTGATCTTCATGCCTACATTTAAATGGAAAGATGACATATTCAGGCCTAGTACCGGTTTCCTCGCCTATTTGAGACAATTGAGAATATGCAGGGTCTATTTGACTTACATTCTCTCTCTCTCTCTCTGCTCTATAGAATTGGTTTGACCTAGTTTGCCCGACATGTTTGTAGAATCAGAGAAACATAGACGAGCGCACCTTGTTCGGAGTTTTCTGTCTTAGTAATAATGATGAATTCCACGCAAGACCATCGAATTAATACATTCCAAGAATATATAACAAGAAGAATAACAAGACTTAGCTACGATGCCGGCGTTCCAAGTAAACAGTCTTGACGCTGGAACTTATCATAAATATTACTTAAAGGTTGTGTTTTTCATGTTTTATATTGATGGCTTTACCAAGTTGCATAAAACGAGGTCAAATCACGTCAATATATGAGAGGTTGTGTTAGGCTCGTGTGAGGCCAAGTAGCTTGTCCCTTAAAAGAAGTGTAGTGCGGTGGTAAGACTCGTAAGGTCCAATGGTGATGCCGAATATGTTGCCGGCGAAACTTGTGGGGATGTACAACTTCCACGCTGCGACTCTGGAAATTATCCTGGTGCATTTCTTTTGGTATTCCTGGCAATAAGACTAAGTTGTGAAAACGAGGTTATATTTATATAAG